CCCCCCACCCCCCCCCACCCACCCACCCACCCACCCACCCACACACACACACACACACACACACACACACACACCAAAGCAAACGACAGATCCTTTTTTCGTCAGATTTCTCTCGGGCTTCCGCGATGGCCTCTGGCTGCCTCCAAGCCCTCGGCCTCTGCAGCGAAGGACTCGGCAACCCCGGCCAGGTTCCGGCAGAGCAACATGGTAGTCTGTGTCTGGTAGTGTCATGTCCTGTGTAAACAAAGCCTTGCAGTAATCCGATGCACGACGAGAATGCATCAGATTCAATCGTGCTTCTGGCTGTGCAGCTGGCTTGAAACTAGATTTACGCTTGGGACCTCCGCGCTTCCGATTTTTGAAGCCATGGTCGGTGTGGTACGCGAAAGAGAGGAAGGTGAGCGAGATGATCGAGCCACCTTCACAGACCTGAAGAAGGCCAGAAAGGAAGACTGCTCTCTGATGATGCGTGGCTTCAACAAAGTCGCTTCCCCCACGCAGAATGCAGAGCGCATCTTGAAGATGTTTCGAGACCAGAAAGGGGTCAACATTGGTACAACTGTCGATTTGTATGAGCACGGCCTTCAAACAGCAACTAGGGCACTCCGAGATGGATGCGACGAGGAGACGGTGGTGGTCGCCTTGTTGCATGACCTTGGGGAGTGTTGGTCGCCTATCAACCACGGTGAGATAGTTGCGAGCTTGCTGCGTCCGTACATCAGCCCGCAGAACTATTGGGTTCTTGTTCATCACGAGCTGTTTCAGGCATATTACTACCAGGATGCTTTCGAACTTAAAGAAAAGAACTCCAGAGACAGGTTCAAGGACAGCCCCCATTGGAAGGCCTGCGAGACCTTTTGCGAGAAGTACGATTCGCCTGCCTTCGATCCTGATTACGACTCCTTGCCGCTCGAGCATTTTGAGCCTATGGTAATCCGGATTTTCAACCGGAAGCCGTATGTGGCCAGCAATTGCAGCGAGCCTTGGCTCATTATCTTTTCAGGCTGCAAGGGTAAGACTTGAGATGCTGCTGCTCAGGAGGACAGCGAGGTGAACAAAGCCAAGATGACCCTGGCAGAGGCTTATCCCTCTCCAGAAGAGCTGGAGGCGGCTTAAGGACTTCGCAGATTTCAGGTTTCTGTAAGCTGAAGCTGTCGCAGTCACGTCACGAGCTTCGTCACCAGGACCGAGCCGGAGCCCCGACCTGGCGAGCCGCTCTCTTCCTGGCACCCTCCCACGGGGCGATCCGCTGCTTGGGCCGCGCCTTCTGCTCGCCTGATCTTGCCTTCTGCTCGGCTTCCCCGTTCCATCCGGCTCCGCGGCTGTCCGCTTAGCGCTTGGAGGTTTCACCGGCGGCGAGCAAAAAGTCGAAAAGCCCTTCCAAACTCCGTCCCCTCTCGCAGCTTCCGACCAATCCGTGACTCAAAGCTAACCATGCCAGGTGGCCGTCGCGAGCGGCGAAGCCTTTGCGGTGGTGACGCAATAGAGTTGTCACTAATTAGGGGCTTAGACTACATCGAATTCCACTCGAGACCTGCATGCGCATGCAAGGCATGTGGGGTCCCAATTGCTGCAAACAGACAGCTTCCTGCATACGAATGCTTCCAGCTTGCACGAGATTCTGCATGAAACGGTCGCAGGTCAAGGTGTATGACCCTGTATGAGGCGTCACGCGCTTTTGCTCGAGATCTGCCAAAGGGCAACATTCCGAGGGGCGGTAATCGAAAGCAGGCGGTCAGACATTTTCCAAGTCCTGTCCACCTTGGCCTTCGCGGCAAGTTAAAAGCATCCACACCATCCCCCACACCATCCCACGGCAGAGCTTCGAGCTTCGAGCTTTGCCGTCGCCCCCATGCAGCAATACTCGATCGAGGCTCGACGCTGGGAAGTTTCCAACAGTGCACGCTCGCTCATGATGCTTTGGAATCTACTTCCAGTGCTTGCAGGATGAGCTTCCAAGTACCCTGGCAGCAGATCCGTGCACATGCCTTTTCCTTCATGGCTGTGATATGACCACTGCATCATCGGATGTGGAAGCTTGTGCGGGGTATGTCAAGGTGATCCAAGGTGATCCAGTTACTTGGGGTGCTTAGTCCAAGAAGCTGTTCAACAGGTTCGATCCTACCAGGAGGAACTGAAGCAAGAAGAGGACACGACTCAAAAAACTTCACAGCCTCCCAATGTTGCTCTCCCAATGTTTGTCTAGTTTCGTCCTTTCCAGCAGCCTTGGCAGGAACATTTTTTTGTAGAACGTGAATGCGCCACTAGGGCTCCTCGCAGGACCTGCTGAAGGAGCGTGAAAAGGAGATCCGGGCAAGACGAGAGGCACGCCTTCAGACTTTCGCCTGCTGGGTTCTGCTTATCGGCTGCGCGGCATAGGCGAGACGCTTGAAAGAGACACGCCAGCGTCTATCAGGCAGCCCGTGAGCTGTGGATGTGCTGTCTACGAGTGGTTAAACTGCATCGTTGTTGAGCTCCAAGTCGGGCAACTATCGCTGCTGCTACTCGTACTGCTTCGGCGACTCCTACTCTTGGCTACTCTTGACCATCTTCGCCCTGCTCCAACTCGTGGTGCTGCTGCAACTGCAACTTCTACTGGGACTGCCCCTGTGACCGCTGCCGGTGCCGCTACTGCTACCGCTACTGCACATCTATTGCTGCTGCTACTACTACTACTACTACTATTACTACTACTACTACTACTACTACTATTCCTACTATTACTACT